GACACATAGACAGGTATATGCAGGTACAGTACATAGACACATAGACAGGTACAGGTAAGTACATAGACACATAGACAGGTATTTGCAGGTACAGTACATAGACACATAGACAGGTACAGGTAGGCACATACGGTACACAGGTGCAGTACATAGACACCTTCCTGAAACTCTATGAGAAGGGATGAAGGAGCTAAGGAAAGCTTGCATCAGGGATCAAAAACAGCCCCTGATCCTGGGTTGAATTCAACCTTCTGTCCCAGTGTGGGATAACGAGACAGGATCTGTGGCTTGGCACAGGTGTGGAGAATTAGAACTCCATAATTTATCTGGTTGTAATGGAATGTGCGTGCGCATGGCGGATTTTTATATAACTGAGATCTTGCTTGTACACTGAACATCGCAGAAGCACATACAGTACAGAGATCTTTTTGGCAACATTTTCTCAGACCTGCCTACAGTTAATCTGCCTTTTGTCGTCTTGGCTGGAGGAGGGGGAGGCAGGAGCAGGGGGGCTATGCAGTGTTTTTTAATACTGCATCCCATCATGAATGTACTGGCTACCTTGGCCCACAGCACTGGTAGCTGTGTTGAAAAGATTCTGTTTCGGTCTGGTGTTAAACCATTTTCATGATCTTTTTTCATGTTAAACATAAAGTAATGTCAGGCCAGTACCCGTCTTGCTTGATGGCCAGAATACCATGTGGTGACATGCCAGTGGAGATCAAGGTTACCTGTACGTCAGCATGAACTTAGACACTGCTCCAGTGAGGCATTCATTTTGAACTCTTCACATTGCCAGTGGTCTGCTATTAATGCGGATATTCCTTTTAAATGAGGCAAACCAATCTCTATAATCGAGTACATATGTGCTAAGAACTTAAAAGCAAACTTGCCGTTAGACAGGATTTGATGAAATACTATTTGACACCACCTCTGGACGTTGGGCCTGAGAGATGGAAAAGGTAGGGGAGATTTTCCACTGCTTGTTCTTGCTGGTGGCATGGGGGAGACAGCAGTTATTATTAATATTAACATATTGATAAGATCTTGGCAGGACGGAGGCACAGAGGTTAACATTACTGCCTCGCAGTGCTGGGGCTCAGGGTTCAATTCAATTTGTGTCTGTGTTTGCCCAGCGATGGACTGCTGTCCCATCCAGGGTGTACCCTGCCTTGTGCCTGTTGCTTGCTGGGATAGACTCCTGCTCCCCTATGACCCAGGAATTGGAAGAAGCACTTAGAAAATGGATGGATATTAATCAAACCCAAAGTGACTTGCATTTGCATCCTTTAATATGGAGGGGCATTTTGCATGAGTATGGCTGTGCCCCTTCCAGGATCTGAACCCGTGCAACCCTTCTAGTTTCAAGTCCTGAGCCCTGGTGGCTCCTCTGTGCTGAGATCTCACTTGGCTGGCAGGTTGTCAGACAGTCACAGAGTGCTTGCAAGACAAGGTGCTGGAACGCTGGCTTCCTGTTATGCAAGTCATGGCCCACCACAGGCATCTGCTGCAGATTCTCATGGTGACGCAGGGAACATCGGAATGGCAGCACACTGGAGGAGCGCGAGCTTGGTGTGGTTTCTTGTTCAAACAAACCGCAGCAGGCCGAGCTCCTGGGAGAACAGTACGCAGTGGAGTGTCCTTTCACAACTCCAAGCGGGCTCGAATCCAGACTCCTCTCAGCCTCAACGGGCCATATTTCAAAACATCGGAGGGTAAAGGCAGGTGGGTACACAGCGTCTCAGTGTGCTTTGCCTTGCAAGATTTTCCATGCTCCCCCTTGACAAGAAGTGTCAGCTCCCATTATGGTTCATTATGCTGCCTGTACTGTGTAGCTCTGCATTGCATTAAAATGTTTTGAAGATTTTTTCCCGACCCTCACTATGCAATGCCTGCAAGAACTAGCCTCTTTAGATGGGCAGATGGTCAGGCAGGCAGACAGATAGTTGGCCAGGTAGAAACAAATGAATGTTTAATAATGTCAACCTTGTCTACAGACGGAAAACCAGTTTTTTTTCTTCATCTGATAGATGGAAAGGTAGCAGGTTCCTCTTAACAAAATGATGTCATCACACGCCTGCATCTAAGAAACAAGTTTAGAAGACAACCACGAAGAACGTGCTGTCTAGTCCATTTTTTTAAGACAGCATCCATATACTGCCATAAATGATGAAATATGCAAACTCGCGTAACATGATCTGGGCCTCAGAAACAGAGAAAAGTCTACACCTCATACCCTCTGTACTTTTTTATTGTTTTTGGCGAATCAGCATTTAACTTTGAAACAGTCCACAAAGACAGCACGAAGGTGGCGACTCCCCTAGACCTTTGATGTGCCAGCGTGTTGGGTCAACAGTGCAGTAATGTGAGAAGGACCAGGAGTCTGAGGGAAAGGAACTGCGTGAGAACAGGGACTTATTCACAAGGCAGAGAAGAGGGCCTTGCCCTGCCGGAAAGCCTTCACAATAATAAATATGGGGATAGACGGTGAGATTAACGTGTAAAACAATGTCTGGAAAGAGAGAGGACAGGTTTGCCTGTCTATCAGGTCACTGTAACTCAAACACCCTTCGGAGATTTGGCTTTCTTTTTCTGTAGTTGTCCGTGAGGACCTGAATCTGCTGCCTGTACACTTCATAGACACTTACCCCAATATTGACAAGAACCTGGAGTGCTGCTCCAGAGGCCTGCGCGGGACCCAAAGCTGACTGTTCACACCCCCTGGAAGATGGCTCTTCCCCCCGCCAGCGACAGGAGTGGGCCACAAGCGGCAGGCGTAGTTTGTTTGGCTCATGTTCCCCAGGGGGAGGCGGTTCTGCAGGGTAAGGTGAGAAAGGATGGCTAGATTTGCTTGGTAATGATGAAGTGAAGAAGAAGAACGAACGAAAGCTTAGACTTGGTGTGTATACAGTACGTAGAGGGTTCAACGAAATTAGTGCTATCAATCAGGCCTGTACAGTATATCAGCCATGTTGTATCACCTTGATTTTCAGTCTTTTGCTGCCATTCGCCTCAGGTTTATGAGACTGGGGATCAGCTCCATCACCCAGCCCAGAGCTGACTGTCACTGCCACTCTGAAATCTCAGAGCTGACTCCAGCGGTAGACTCCTAACGCAGCTACATCTTCATCAGCACTGTTCGACGTTCACATCATTGTTTTAGCAGCGGCATTGAAGCCTGACTTCGGTGTTAGTCTGTGAACTCTGAACTTTCAGCAGTTGTACTTGTAAATTTATTACATGGAACTTTGTTATGATGCTTTGAGACATTTGTATCTGCCTACAAATTAAACAGGGCTCAGTTAAGCACGAGGGCCAATGCTTTGTGATTGTGGTCCTGTGTTTGCACTGTTGTATGAAGGAGCTGAAACTGCAGAATGACCTTCCGTCTTCCTGTCTCTTCCCCAACCACGCTGGGAGAGCTCAGAACCACTGGACTGCTGAGCACCGTGGGAATCCACAGTCCAGTCCGGTCCCAAAGTCTGGGGGGCTACTTCAGTCTGGAAGGAAGGGCGAAGATAAAAGAGCGCTCTCAGCTGACACAAGGTATAAAACCTGCTGATCTAATCTCTCGCCAGTCCCCTCAGCCTCTCCTCCCCAGCACTTTCAACAAAAAAGAAATTCCGCCAGCAAATTTCCCCAGCCGTTTGCGTCAATATTTGTTCAGTATTTTAATTTGCTTCTTTTTTTGTTCTTTGTTTGTTCGGCTGGGCCTCACAAAGACCCAAATCCTGAAAAGAAAAGAATTCGGCCCTGTCTAATGCGATTAAGAAACGGCCTACCTAGCTACCCACGCTGCCTTGCGCTCCCAGTGAAAACACTGACTCATGGTCAGTTAGCTGGTGCCAGGTGTCCAGGTGCTGACCTTGCAAAGCAAATGGACTGGAATTACCCACCCCCCCAACATCTCCAGTTAACAATTAGCAGCTTACCTAATTATCCACCATAGCAACTGCAGCGCAGGACAAGGAATGATACATTTCAGCCTGAGGGTTCAAAGGAGTGATAGGTGGAAAGCTAATGAACAGTCATTGCTTCTCATTCAGAGACCTTACCAGTGCAAATACTTGGTACTGAAGTGAAAATCAGGAGCATTTCTTTGTAGCAAGTGCAGGATTTGTTTTCTGTCACTTTGCCTGCTAGTTCTTTTCCTGTTGATGTTGTTCTTCGTTGGAGGAGCTGTCTGTAGCAGACAGGGAATATAACAGTGAGGTTCACAGGGAGCTCTCAGTTGTGTCTTTTAATTGTGCCCCAGTGCCTATTGAATGTAAGAAGATGGTCTATGCATGCTAACAAGGTCCTATAGGTTCATTACTGCAATGTGTACATCATATTCTTTATCTTTAGTTTTTCTCCAAAGCCATTCAAGGCCTAAATGTTTTGGAGGTGAGTATGAAATGTGAATTAGCTCAAATGCAGAGTGTGCAGGTAGCAGAGCTCAAGACACCTATATTAAGTCAGGTTTCTCTGCCCAGTCTAGTCTTGTGCTGGAAGGCTTGGCATTCCTCTCTAACCTGCTGGGCAATAAATCCTGCAATTCTAACAAGTCATTCTGAGAAACACTGTACCATTGCCAGGACATATTGGTCAAGACAAATCTTCCCACAGAAGATTGTTGCCGATTTCCACTCTTAGATCAATTTAAGATTCACAGAGATGAAAGACAGACAGAGCGGAGTAATTAGAGTCCTTTTGAAGAGACTCTGAAATGAACTGTTGTTCGGTACTGTAATTCCAGAACCTCTAAAATGTGAGTTGTCATATATTAATCATCCCTTTACTGTATGTCTTACTGTCTGTTTCTTTTACCTATAGGCCTAGCAGTGGTGAAAAAGAACGTGTGTGTTATATATAACCTAACAATGAAAACATAAGCGCAGTTATACAACAGCCTTTGACGTTGATGGCAGAGGTTTATGGGCAGGACAAACCGGAGGAGCTGTGGGAAGGAGTCTGGGAGGGACACTGACCCTTGTGGACACTGTTCACCTTCCCCACCCTCTGCTGTTTAGCTAATCTGCACCTATGGGAAACAGGTCATGGGACATGCAGTGTGGAGCGCCCCTGTGTTTATCCCCACCCCTTCCTCCACGGCCGCAGGTCCCGCTGCCCTCTCTGCGCTCCAGGATACACACGTCTCCCTGCTGTCGGCGCCTGCACCTCCGCCACAGCGGAGCCTGAGCAGCCTGCCGGCTCGGACCCTGTCTCCGCGCGAGCACAGTCCCGAGCTGAGCGCCAAGAGGAGGCTGGGCGTGCAGCAGCCCCGTCCAGCGCCCAGTGTGGGCATCCCCAGAGGGCAGAGGGGGTTTCTCCCCCAGGCAGAAGGGTCTCCACCCCCCCGCCATCTCTGCCAAAGTGTGTGCTTTCCAGGATGGGGGACACCAGGGAATTCAGGTGTGTACTGTATGTGGGTTCTGTACTGCGCATGGCACGGCTCCTATTCCACTGCTGTCTGTTACAGTATCGTGTGTTCAACATCCCTCATCAGGTGATCTGTCACACACTCTTCTCTGGGGCAGTTGCACCCTCTCTCCCCAGCCCCTGCAGACACTAACCCCTAAACCCTGTGCTGCGAGATGTCAGGTTATCAGTGGCAAATGTTCCCCCCTCTGTCAGCTTTGGAATAATCTCCATGCTGGGAGCAGTGCAAGGCACAGGGGCCACCTGTTTGTAAAGCCCTAAACAACCATACAATGAGACTGAAAGAGATAGGATGTTTTTCTGGCCTTTCGTTTTCATCGTTGACATGTCTCTCACAACAGCCATCCACCCACTCATTCTCTAACCACCTCTTCCAGATCAGGGTCCCAGGGAGCTGGAGCCTATCCATCAGACAGGACCCCAATCTAGCACAGGGCACATGCAGACACAGACACACACAGACTCACACCAGGACCACTTTTCCCAGAAGCCAAGTAACCTACCAGTCTGCCCCGGAGCTGCAAGACTTCAATGCTTACCGCTGTGCCACCCTCTTCCACAACACGCAGAATGCAGAGATTGTTGAGGCCGGTGGAATGGAACATCATCCCATCCTAATGTTCTGTTACAATAGGAAAGGAGGAACAGTGGTCAGTGTTCTGGACCAGCAGCTGGAAGACTGGATGGACTGTCTTCCAGAAGTAATTGAAGGCTGAGGAAGAGGTGTCATTCATTTGTAAATCACTTTATAAGTAAAACTGAGAAAAACAAGCAGCTCTCTGTCCTGCTGGGGATTTTGAAGAAAAGTAGTGCAGGCAGACAGGAATTACTGTTAGACCTCTGGTGGCATAATTTGGTACTGCAGTCTGCGGAAAACTGGATCTGGCAAGTACTTTACAATACTGTGTCCATGATACTAACGAGCCATATAACTCCACCACAGAGGAAATGAGTATTAGGGATAATTATTCTTTGAATGAAGAGCAATGTATGTATCAGAGTGGGATTGATTATTTAAATATAACAGTTCTACAACTCAATGTGATTCTGATACTACAAATGTCAGAAGAGAAGCAATTATCCTACACATGGGCAAGGCGCAAAAAGTAAAGGATTTGATTGGTTCTTGAACCCATTATGAAGATGTATTTCCCAAGCAGTATTCCCCTGTGACAGGTGGCCCAGCCTTTTAGCATAGGGGAATTCAACCCCGCCTGACGGAGCCCTATGTGGCTCAGGGGCTGGGAGGTGACTGAAAGACACGTGTCAGCAGGGATGAGTGACGCAGACATGCCGTGATCTGAGTCTGCACCTGCAACTGAGACCTGTACAGCTCAGTTATTCAGCGCAGGTGTTGCTGAGCATGGAAAGGGCCTAATCCTCACGAGCACGCCACCACATGTGTCATATAGAGGGGTCGGCCGGCCATGACAGTGACACATTCATTAAAGCAGTTAGAGAAGCATATGAAAAAACACTGAAATGCTACATCTTGCTGTTTTTTGCAAAGATGACCCAGAGATAAGGCAGATACGGTCTCACAGCTGGCAGTCTTGAGTTTGAAAGGAATAGGGAATGTGTACTGCACCAGGCACTCACAGGACAAATCAGATTGGTCTTGGTGTTGACTTTTCAATAGACACTTCCCCACCTGTGGGGGTGTGGTGGAAGAGATTAGCAGGCACTGAAAAGGGCTTCTATCACAGATAACCAGCAATTCTTGAGGCATTTTGTGTCTATTGTTTTTGGGATGGGGGGCTTTTTTGGTAGCAATTTCTGAAAGGAGGATATGTAGCTCAGAAACTGATACAAAACCGTCGTTTCATTGCTTTTGCCACATTTGCACAAGAAATGACAAAACATTTTCTCCATTCTACTAAAACAGAGCCGCAACTCTGATAGGCTGCTGGCTGCTCTTGCTCCACTGTGTGCTTTGCAGTTAAGACTTATTTGTGTTGAAGCTGTGCCCCTTTAGATGTAACACCTTGGTTTCACAAGGCTCTCTGTATTCATAATGCTGTATTCATGAGCCCTGGCCAGCACGCGTTTCAAAGGTGTCTGGAACAGGGAGAACGTGCAAACTCCACACAAACGGTGCTCCAGTCTGGTAACGGATGTAGGACCCAGGAGCTGTGGCACAGATGCGTTAATACCCACCCTACCTGTGCTCTAGCTGTCTCATACCGCATTTAAAAACATGATGCGATGTTATATCGAGTGGCAGACAAGGAGAACTGATTTCCAACCACACGATTTCCCCCAAAACGAGAAAAGTTTAACTGTGACTGAAACGTATCTGAAATCGGCATTACGTCATATAATCACACTACATGTATTCACATGGAATGACATACATTTCTAGAAAACTATACCTTAGAGAAACACTGAACCCCCCTGTACTCGAATCTGATTATTTCACTACTACACTTTTTTTCCGTTTTCCACGTTTGAACACGAGGACGTTTGAATCTCAGTGCTGTTTCATTCGAAACGAAAAACAAATATCACAGTCTAGCGAAAAAATAGACACATAGCACATCCGTTTTTCCCGTCGTTTTCTCTTTAGTGGTTGCGCTGAAGCCACCGGTGAGTCGCAGCGCAAACATTTGAACAGTAAGCTGGTGATCAGAGAAATATTTGAGATTCTTTCGCTTCCCATCCAGTCTGGACATTTACAGAAATACAACCCCCCTCAAAAAAAGAAGGGAAAGAAAACAAGCCGGCGGTCGGGGGTTCTGTTTCTAAAAGGAGGACTTGAACCAGTTCCAGATTGGACACGCAGCTTCGACAAACCGCTCGCCTCTCGGGAATTGGAAAAGCCGTCTGGAATTTGAATATTTTCGCCCCTTTAGGTCACTTGGCATGCCACTGATTTCCTGGGCAACACCCCTTCGCAGCGTATTTAAACGGAGGGAACTTTCTCTGTTTCCAATCCAAGCTCCAGTCCTAACGACAAATCAGGAGTGACCACGAAAGAGCGCAGCGAACCGAACCGAACCGAACCGCACCGCTACTGCAACAGCAACAACAACAGCAAACAGCAGCTCCTAGCTCAAGCTCCAGCCCGCTGACTGAGTAAATCTCTTGGAATCGTCAACTCGCAGACACTGTGAAGATGTTTGGGAAAGCTACTGCGAAGGGGTTTCTTCTTCTGCTGGTTGTCTACACGGTAAGGTGCCTCAGAGCTCAGGAAAGGGCTCTGCTTGATCTCCTTGGTTATCTGCTGTTATCTGCTTGGTTAAGGTGTTTGGTACTCACCCACAACCTCGAGTCCTGCAAATGTGGCACACTTGTTTTAAAATGCTGTTTAATTTACGTCAAGCAGACACTCTGGTCTCCTGTATCAAAAGACGACTAGTCTTGCGTGTATGTTGTGTAGGACTGAAGCTTTCACGGCAACCAAGTTATTGTGTGTGTGGTCAGCGATTAATTCGTTTTCTCCGGAGCGTCGCTGAACATCTCCAGCAGGTTTTTGAAGTTCGCTGTTTCCAGTAAATCCATACAATTGTTTTCTGCACAGTAGCTGGAGTTGCGGTGTAACTTTATAGCATAGCCGTGTAACCAAACTCATCGCATTACAAGGAGAATGAATCTGGTCAACAACTCGCGCTTTGAGAATGAGAAAATAATCCTGTTTTTTGAGGTTTCGCGTTCACGTTCACTTAAAGTAAAAATAAAAAAAAAACGTATTTGGGTCTTGCAAAGGTTCCAGTTACGTTTCTTGCAGCAGTAGAAAATTTAACTTATACTGTACGTACAGTCTTCATAACCTGTACCAATGAACAACAGGGTCGTGTTTATCATAATGCATGTTTTTTTTTTAAAAAAACGTATTATGCAAAAGGGAGAACTCTTATGACGAGAATTGCAGGTAATATGAAGTTAACGCTGGAGTGCCTTAACTCCAGGTGTTTGTTAAACACGTACTGTGTTCCTGTAAATAACGTATCCAGGGAAACCGGCCACTATCTGTCACTCTTAACCTCTCACCTACTGAACCTTTGGAAACAAAGTTGAAGTCCGTGTTTTATCGTTTCCTAATCGTAAGAGTATTGCTAAGTAACGAAACTGAAAGATGCATGGGTGTACCCCCTGTTGCTATCCCTTAGGTATTTCTTGAGCTGGAATCATCAGCCTTCCTAGGTGTTCAAATGGTTGCTTGTGAAACGCGGTGCTTCCACCTGGCGGGTGTAAATTGACACTACAACCGACAAGGGAAGTTGTACTGCATTCGTTGCATCTAAGATAATGTGATAAACGACTACTGTTAGACGATAATATCCTTTGTGAAACTGAAACTTTTCATTGCTAAAAAAAAAGTATTGCAACGTAGGCTCAGACTTCGAAGTCTTGTATTTTTTTAATGTTTGTCTACTGGTAGTATTTGCATGTGTTTTGTCTGGAACCTAAGCTGTCGCTTGAGAAATAGCGTTGACCGGTAAAGACCCTCTTTAGCGCCGCCTTCTACAACCCAGACTACATGATCCGTAGAAATAAAAGCTTGTAGCAATAGTTCTTCAGGAAAGCGCAGCGGTCATGATTGTGGCTGTTTCACGGTGTCCGCGCCTCTCGTCCCCCTGCAGACCCGAGGACAGGACTGCTCCTCGCCCTGCGCCTGCCCGCCAGATCCCGCTCCTTGCCCGATCGGCACCAGTCTGGTTCTGGACGGCTGCGGGTGCTGTAAGGTGTGCGCCCGGCAGGCCGGCGAGCCCTGCTCGCTCCTGGAGCCCTGTGACCACCACAAGGAGCTGTACTGCGACTACTCCATCCTGAGCGACACCGACACTGGCGTCTGCATCGGTGAGTCAGGCTTGGCGCTCACGACTGCTGGTGAACAGAAAGAGCCGATTGTTTTTTTTAAAGGAGCGAGCAATCACGAGCTTAAAAAAATACGCACCTTTGGATTTTTCTGGTTCACAATCGCAGAATTGTGGTTCGACTCCTGGTTTAAATGCAGTGCTTTAGAGTACGTCATCACTAATTTTGTATGAGTCAAGGCTGTACAGGGTGAGCTTTGTGCAATCCCTCTGTCCATGGCCTTAGAGTGTTTCATAGAGTTGATTTTGATGAGCTCTCATGTTCAATTATAACATTTCTGCCTGAGACGTTCAGTGCTCATTAACGATGAGAAAAGGCTGGTTTCTTCAGTAAAGCTGGTCTGGAGCCTGTTGGCTGACTGTTCCTAATGTGTAACCATGACACAATGTGAGACACTGAAGACTGAATTTTGGAGGTTGTGCTGTAAAATAATTAGTATTTACCCAGACATGCTTCAAACATGTGGGGGAAGACCTGGACCGTCTTTGAAGAATTATACTCCACTTGTTTTGCGCAAAAAAAAATGAATCCATGGACAGATGTAATGCAATTTTTTTTAAGAGCTTTCAATTAAATTTCCTGAGGGAAGACAGCAGCCAAATTATATTTCATCTCAGCTTCCCTAACGTGTGATCTTCCCTCCCATATTTTCAGGACAGCTAGAAATCCCCTGTTTAAGGCTCTGTTCCTCTAGATCCCCTGTGGCGTATTCACCCGTGTCTCTGTGCAGGAGACACTGACACAAGCTTGTAGAATATGGGGGATAGGCGTTCCTGGGTTTAGAAACCGCTTTCCCTGCCTCAACGCACAACATCTTCCTTCGCCCCATCTCCACCCCTGCATCTACCTTCGGGGGGACTCTGCACGTCGGGGGTCCTGGCCTAATTGACCTGGGGCAGGGGGTGGGGTGACCCTCAGCCAAGTGGGTAGAAGCCAAATTGTCTCCTGTCCCC